GTGTGTGTGTGTGTGTGTGTGTGTGTGTGTGTGTGTGTGTGTGTGTGTGTGTGTGTGCAGGTATGTGTGCACATATATGAATGTGCATGTAGAGGTCAGAGTAACATTGGGTGTTGTTCCTAAAGAGCATTTGACCTTTCTTCTGTTCAATGTTTTGTTCTATCTGAGACAAGGCCGCTCCATGGAACCTGGGGCTTATGGATTAGGCAAGGCTGCCTGGTCAGTGGGCTGCGGGACCTGCCTGTTTCTGCCTCCTCAGCATTGAGATTGCATGAGTGTATCACCATGCCTGGCTTTCTTAGGCAGGTACTAAGGATCACATTTGGGTTCGCTTGCTTATGCAGCAAGTACCTTTCTGACAGTGCCACCTCACCATCCCCTCAATCTGCAATTCCGTCCATCAGAAAAAAAAAAAAAAAAAAAAAAAAAAACCTCAGCCATCAGGTAGTTAACAGTTATCCTCGATAATGGGAGCTTGGTTAAGTCCATACTAATGGCAAACTGGAAGCTTGGCTGAGTGAGTCTTGAGTCTGCTTTATTCATTAATGAAAATCATTTACCCTTGAGGATACAACCATTTTCACTGGGCCTTCTGCTACAAGAACAGAAGAGCTTCTTCCCGTGTGGAAAGCAGTATATATTATATGGAGGTGAAATACAGCTCTTTACTCTTGACCTGAGAACCTTCCTTTGCTGAGTTCTGAATAAGAGAAGGAGCTCCATTCAGTCCAGACAGCGATGACACTGGACTGCCACCCCACTCTGGGCCCATCAGATACACCGGCCATGGATGAGAAGAGGGGCTGAGTGTCTGAAATGCTTCTCCACACATGTGGGATTTTTCCAGTCACATTCATACGACACAGTCTAAGGCCATTCAAAGGGTTTTATCTCCATCTTTTCCCAAAGTTTCAGGAGTCACAGTTCTAAAAATTCCACATGTCTTTGGTTGGGAAGACCATCTCTGCTTCTACTCTAACAGGGAAATGAGATTTCATGGCATTTTAAATACTTCTTTCTCTACTACAATTGCCTTTTACTGGGGATCATCAAGTGAGTAAATACCATGTTTGTCTTTCTGGGTCTGGGTTACCTCACTCAGTATGATTTTTTTTCCTAGTTCCATCCATTTGTCTGCAAATTTCATGATGTAATTAATTTTAACAGCTGAGTAATGCTCCATTGTGTAAATGTACCACATTTTCTTTACTCATTCTTCAATTGAGGGACATCTAAGTTGTTTCCAGTTTCTGGCTATCATGAACAAAGATGCTATGAACATCATTGAACAAGCGACAAAACCTTTGGCCTACAGTTTGTCCTGCCTGCAGACTATTCTGGGACAAGAGCCTAGCAGCATAGTCATCAGAGATACCAGAGAGACTTCATCCAGCAACTGATGGGAGCAGATGCAGAGTCCCCAAACCAAACATTAGACAGAGCTCAGGGAGTCCTATGGAGGAGGAGAAAGAGGAGGAGGAGGAGGAGGACGAGGAGGAGGACGAGGAGGAGGAGGACTAGGAGGAGGGGGAGGAAGGTCCTGAGGAACCAGAGGTGTCATGGACACTAAAAGAACACAGCCCACAGAATCAACCGACAGGGACTCATAGGGGCTTGCAGAGATCCAAGAGCCTATAAGGATCTGCCCTAGGTCCTCTGTGTATATGTTATAGCTAAGTACCTTGGTGTTCTTATGGGATTCCTAACAGTGGGGATGGAGCTGTCTGACTCTTGCCTGCATGTGGGACCCTTTTCTTCTTACTGGGTTGCCTTGTCCAGCTATGATGTGATGGTATGTGCCAGGTCTTATTGTAGCTTGTTATCCCATGTTTGGTTGATGTCCCTGGGAGGCCTGATCTTGTCTGAGGGGAGACATAGGAAGTGTAGATCTGGGGAAGAGGGGAGATGAGGGAGAGAGATTGGGGGGAGGAGGAGGAGGGGAAAATGAAGTCAGGATATATGTATATATGTAATATATGAAAGAAGAATAAAAGTAAAAATAAAATAAAAATTAACAAAACACACACAAAAAAAACTTTAAGCAAAATGATGAAGATATACTGTTCTTTGCTATGGCAGCCAGCATAAAAGCATATACACATATACACAGAACTGTGTTCTGTGTCAACTTGACACAAGGGAGAGTCATCAGAGAAGAAGGAGCCTCAGCTGAGGAAACGCCTCCATGAGATCCAGCTGTAAAACATTTTCTCATTTAGTGATCATTGAGGAAGGACCCAACCCACAGTGGGTGGTGCCATCCCTGGGCCAGTGGTCATAGGTTCTATAAGAAGGTGGGCTGAGAGGGCCGGGGGAAGCAAACCAGTAAGCAGCACCCCTCCATGACCTCTGCATCAGCTTTGAGTTCCTGTCCTGACTTCCTTCAATGATGAACAGTAATGATGAAGTGTAAGCCTAACAAACCCTTTCCTCCAAAACTTGCTTTTTGGTCATGGCGTTTCATCACAGCAATAGAAACCCTAACTAAGACATACAGACAGTTTGAGAAAGCCTAATTTCTCTAATTCTTTTTTTTTTTTAAGACAATGTTATACTGTTTCATTCTGGCTGGCCTACAGTAACTTCCTAGGTAGACAAGGCTGGCCTGGAACTCAGAGATCTGCCTGCTTCTGCTCCCCAAGTATTGGGACTAAAAGTATGCCCCACCATGTATAGCTTGAGTTCTCTGATTCTTAATATTAAAAAATGAGAATGAAGGCATTTCCTTATGCTAATTCTCCAGCAGACTACCACTCTAAATTCTGTTAGATAAGAATGACTTTAAAAGTAATTTATGTCAACATAATATGCTCTGCCTTTGGGTCAGGAAAACGCATTTCAGAGATTTAAGGGGAAGATCGAATGATTAACATAACTCAAAAACTGCTCATTCTGTCAACAACCCTTTCCTTGAAGAACAAGCGCTGTCCGGCCAAGTTATTAAAACTCAGAACTATTTATTTTCTATCCTTCCCTTCCTGGTGTGCTGTCTTACTCATGTCAGTGAGGGAAGGAATTATGTAGAGCTTCCCGAGACTGGTGAGCACTCTAAGTGACTTCTCTCTGCAGCCTGAGTCACTCATGTGTGCTTCCGGTCCTCTGGCTTTCAGAAGCTGTCTAATGCTTGTGTGGGTGTCCAGTGTCTGAGCTGTGTCAGACCCGTGGGTTCATGTTAGACATTTCAAGGGCTGCCTTAAGCCAGACTCAACCTCTTCTCTTTCTACAAAGGTCTTTCATATCTTATAAGAAAAATTGCATTGTTTGAAACGAAAAAACTTTCAAGACTAACTTCTAGTCAAGTCAGCTTAAAGGACTTATTTCCTCAATCAAAGAAAGACAGAGCTTAAAATAAAAATATGGTGCTCTTTGGGAACGCTCACTTGTGCCAATGTGTGAGTGGATAGTAGCTGCCCCCATGGGAATATGTACTTCGCATTCTGAGAGGATCAGCTGCTGGGTGGTAGAAGCACTTCCGGTTAGAAGCACTTCCGGTTCTGCTACTGTCTTCCAGTACCAGATGGGACATCTAACGACACCTCACCGGAGTTGAGCAGACGATGAGTTTTGCTTTGCTTGATTTAGCCTTGTGTTGGCTGTTGACATCTGTCTTTAATGTATCTAGAACATGGCCATTAACGTGAGGCTGCGGGGGCCGATCATTATGCCCTTCAAGTAGCCGCACTATTTTGGCTGGCGTTAATTTTGTTGTCAAAGATACAGCTGTTGTAGGAAATATTTTGAATTTCTGGTTACAGCTGGTTTGCTGAATGAAGTGGTGCTCTGAGCACTGGCATCAGTCCATTTTCTAAATGGGTAATCCTGGTGCTCTGCAAAGAAGTCTGCCAAAGGAGGAGGTGCGTCATTAATCCACGCTGTTTCGCCCTGTGTCCTGCTATGAAACCTGGAATTCACCCATCAGAATTAGTATTATTTATCAGTATTAGTGGGTTTCAGCATGCCAATTTTTTACAGTATTGTTTCTTTATATTTATAGGTGTAATGGTGTTATCCACAAAGCATGTGGAGAACTGAAATATCAAAGTAAGATCATAAAATTAAACAGTGAGAGGAAAGGCTAGGAAGATTGGTGGACAGCTCAAAAACAGTGACAAGACAGCACCCCGCAGAATTTAATAGATACGTTTTAATCCATCATTGCTTTAAAATTTAAATCAAATTTACTTTTCTTAAATATGTAAAGACATGCAAACTCATACATATAAGTAAGGCACCCAATGATGCTTTAATATGTAGATGCATTATGCAATCTTTAAATCAGGGCAGAAATACCTGTCTCCTGAAACATTCATCCTTTGTTTATAATGAAACATTGAAATCCTCTCTTCCAGCTGGAGATGGCAACACACCATTACCTCTACCCAACTCCGCAACAGCAAACCACAGTGTCTTCTGCCTCCTATGGACCTGCAGCTGCATCCCATGATCATCATCACCAAATATCTTCTACAGATGACCACTAAACAGACATCTGTTCCCTTCAACCGCTATTCAGTGAGTCAGCACAAGCTCAAACACTTGGTTATTGTGCATGTGACTTATTTTGCCTTGAAGATTAGGAATTTCTTTGGCAATGATTATTTCCACTCTCTCAAAATTAGAACGCAGCAGGATTAAGACACCTGGACCCTTCACCAGAAGCTACAACTAGGCAGGGTACTGAAATATTAGTACACAAGAAGAACACAGAAAATGTGATAAAAATAATCAAAGGTGTTTGCCAGCAATCCTTCTAAATGGGAAGTGGTGGAAGGGAGTATTTTGATAAGAAGATCGGAGCATGATAGGGAATCAGAATCTAAAATTAATCACCTCGATTGAGAAGCCCTTGGCACAGAAAGGCATCTCTCACCTTCCTCTTATCCTTCTGCTCCAAAGCAGTGAATAAAAGCATCCTTCGACTTTTCTCTAAAGTTGAGATACGTGTGTGAGAGATGCCCTCCCTACATTCCATGGAAAGCATACATCTCTCTGAAGACAGGGATGCTGAAGAGGATCTGGGAGCCTTAAGTGATGTGAGTCTCGGAGGATTTATTTTATGCAGTCAATCAAGTTGGTTCCAAGAACAAAGAAAAAAATTCAGATCCTGCATTTCATATAACCTTAAGGAACAGGAACTCAGTTGTCTTTAGTGAGATGGGGTGCACTGGCAGAAAGAAAATATAGGCTAAGACTCAAGGAGAAGAAAATTGAAGGAATTAGTGAGGTGACTGGTGCTCACTGAGCGATGAAGGCCTGGAGGAGGATGCTGGGAATTGGGATTGCAGGCTCTCGGGGCTGATGGCAACCAGAAAAGAAAGGATATAGATGATGAGCTTGATGATTCATTAGGCATCCTCTGGAGGCTTTGCCAAGCTCTACTGGCAACATTGGCCATGGGCAGAAGGACAGATATCAGCAGGGGACGATGAGATGATTGATGTGAAGAACCCATTAGGTGGCTGCTGCAGTTCATTTAAAGTTACTGGTGGTAAAGGAGCTGATAAAAATAGACTAGCAGGGATCAAAGGATGATAGAAAAATTCCACATAGTGCTTACGTTAGAATTAGTCAATCAGAAAATGCCATTGTCCCTGGGAAAATGTTGAGGGGACAGAATGGCAGGATGTGTAGAGTTGTAGCACAGGGACATGATTTTAATACAGTTTCACAACACCCCGCCACCACCACCCTTGCAGCACATCTCGGTGGAGGGGATGGTGGCGAAATAATATCCACCACTTATAACGATAAATGACGCAAGTTTTATGTATGAGTTAGAACGTCAGATACTCGGCCTTTAAGCACCAAAACACTACTCTGTGTTGGTTTCACCCAACCCTATTTTTAGACCATGAAACTGAAGTTCTGGTAGGCTAATTATCTGATCAAGTTGATATAATTAATAAGGGGGAAATTAGGGCTCTAAATCTGACTTCACTAAACGGAAGAGAGTCTATGATGGGGAGCGATGAGCATACACCGAAGAACATTTAACTTTTGACAAGGAACTTAATCTTTCTTAGCTGGAGAAGGAAATTTCCTCACAGATTTGTCATAGTCTTCTGCCTGAAGGCAGGGAGATAGAGTTTTACAGTGACTGGATGACAAACCATGAAGCATGGGCTCTGTAGAATTAAAATGCTGTTGTAGAATATGAAGTTGGATGTTGCTTAAAAATCGACGTTTTTCTATAGCTTCTTATTCTGTTCCCCAATTAATGGAGCTTTTGTTTATTGCTTAAACAGGAAGAGGTGCTGGGATGGATGGGGTAGTTTTCTTGCCGGTTTTAGACGATAGATTCTGTTTTATTCCTTTGTTTCACTTCTGCCTCCACCCACAGTGGACAGACTGACCTCCGTGATTGTCCCACCCTGCCTGTTTGTTCTTGCCCATCCCCCTCACCCCCAGTCAATTGTTGGTCTTTGACACCTATCTGCCGTTATAGACTGCTCCCTACCGCCATGAAGGTTGTTAACCTGAGCATTTTCTTTTTGTAAAAGTCTTCCATTGCCAAGTACCACATCTCAGATAAAGACTGAGACTGATACAAAGGTCCCCAGGCCTGTGTGGCCTGGGCCCTGGCATTCTTCAAAGTCAGGCAAAGGTGGTAGCATACCAGATTATTTGACACTAACATCCTTCTTTGAGATCATGAAGTTTGGACACATTAGTGGGCTGAAAATCCGCACAATGGATATTTGTCTCATTTATATCTATCTATCTATCTATCTATCTATCTATCTATCTATCTATCTATCATCTATCTATCTATCTATCTATCTATCTATCTATCTATCTATGCCTTTTTGGCACAGGGTATTGCTATATAGCACAGGTTGACCTTGAACTTGGAATCCCCTTGCCTCAGTGTCCTCAGATTCAGGCTTACAGACTTGCATCAGCACTCCCAGCACCATTACCTGGCTTTAGAGACATCAGTTTTTGCATATCTTTTTGTATTAGGCTGATGCTGCCTTGGGCTTGTTGTACAACTCTGTGCACATCTTCACTGGATGGTCAAAGCAAGACAACTGCACAATTGATTTGGATATGTTTTAGAGGAGAAGTCCTCTCTGGTTTCAAGGGCCAACAGTAGAGAGAGGTCTTTCTGTAAGCCTGTGAAAATATCCAAGGTGATAGTCAACTTTGTGTTATCTTCCTTTTATTTTCAGACCCTCAGGGTATGCAGACTAGAGGGAGTCATTTTCCAGAAACAAAGCAACATGAAGGCTTTGCTCATCTAAGACCTGGCTGCATGCATGTGTGTACATTAAACTTCAGAGCTGAGTTATATAAACACCAATGTTATACATTCGGGTTAGTCTATTTTATTTTGCAGCTTACATCTAACTTGAACTTAAATCATGAAATCCTCTAGTTCTTTATGTGGAAATGTTTACATCCAAAGACATTTGCTTTGTTCTGTGCTCAAACTCTTTTCTGGTTTAACATCACCAGGACATAATGATAAACTGCACTAGAGATGGAAACCCAAGGAGACAAAGACAGGTGACAGAGGCAAAGGCCAGGGGGATCATTTAATCAAACTTTAAATACAACACTAAATTGAGTTCAACATGCTAGAAAAAGTCAACTCTATTAATTCATTAATTAGATATCCCCCTTTAATGAAAAGGATCAAACATACCCACACTCTCTGGGTCATGTAGAGTTTCATGTAAAATCTGTTTTACACTGGGTTGGAGATTTAGCTCAGTGGTAGAGTGCTTGCCTAGCAAGCACAAGGCCCTGGGTTCGGTCCTCAGCTCCAGCTGGGGTTGGAGGAGACAAAATCTGGTTTATACAAATCCCCCAACCTCACTCCTTCTCTGTCTAAATTTTTTTGTTTGTGCCCCACTTATTTTAGATTATTGTCAGCTAAAATATCAATTTAATAATGTAAATGTGTTGACTGGTTAAATGGAATATGCTATTCTTCCCATAGGGACTGTGCTGCTGTAACTCAATGAAGTTCCTCTAATGATGTCAGAATAAAGCAGATCAGTCTTCCTGGGATCCCTAAGTCATGATTCGTAAGCAGTTACCTAGTGGGCTATGGGAAGCCACTGAGACCTTTGTGCAAACCTCTGTCCTATATGAGGAATGTAACCTTGAGCAAGTGAATCTATGAAAGGAAAAAGGAATGTTCTAGAGGACCAGAAAAGCTATAGCATTTTTCTCCCAGGTACAGAAGAATTAACTGCTCCTGCCATAGCATAATTTAATGGAAACTATAAACTGTAGAACCTTCTGGGGCTTCAAATAGAACTGTCCCCACCCTACCTTCTTTCTCAACTTGTTACGATAGACCCTTAAATTCTACCCATGAAGTTGCCTGAACTTCAAATGAAGATTCAAATCCAGATTTTTAAGTGTGTAAGTAATTATAGAGACAACACATTCAATTACTGTACTGTGAGTGGAACAGGAGCCCAACATAGATTTGGAATATGGAATATGCACAGACAAAATGATGAAATGATGTGGTCCAGGATATATCACCATTTCCTGGCCTGAAGTATTTCTCCTGCCCATCACTTTGAGTCAATATGAAATGAAAGGGCCATAGATCCCCGGAGTGATCAGAGACCCTGGAGAACAAAGGCAGCTGTGTGCACCATGGACATGCAAGGATGAAGAGGAGACGCAACAGTGTCTGTCCCATAAAACCACACATTTGAATTTCTGCTGTCCACCAAATCACTTGTCTGCTTACTGCCAGAAATATAAGAGGCACTGCCAGATAGTCCACACAGAAGAGCTTTGTAACAGTATCTCAGGATGCCTCAGACAGGGCCCTGGGGCAGGAAAAATAAATAAAGAATTCAAAGTGCAGTTGGTCCCATGGAGAAACACCAGCTCAGCAGGGACAAGAGACAAGAAACAGACCCCAGGCTCAAAGGGACCAGTGAGTATGTAGACTGCTCCCCAAAACGAGCTTCATAGATAAAAATTCCAGCAAAATACAAATATGCATACCTTTGACCAAAGCCTTGATTTGTTTCTGGACTCTGCTTCTCAGTGACTGACAGTGCAATGTGCCTGGTTCAGACTTCTTTTTGAGACCTCCTGGGCGTTATGGCTACTGGTACCATGGGTTACAATTCAGGCTAGGCAAGAAATAGTTTTTCTAAGAGATGGTGATTTTTATTGATGAGCCCTTAGATGTATTTTACCCAAATCCTTCACAAATTAATCCAGTAGGAAAAGCAAGCAACATAGATTTAAACAACAACAACAACAAAAACTGGTCTCTCTTTTAACTAGATGAAGTTTATCGGATTTAAGAAAGACATTATGAGTTTGATGATAATGAGTGGTCTCCTACATTTCATTATAAAATTTAAAAACTGTGTAGGTGGCACATTAATTGCAAAGATAATTTTAAAAGCTTGAAATTATACCACACCTTTTAGTTTAATGCATTTCCTTCTAGAATTTTCTCATTGAATTTGAGGGTGTGGTTGGTGGTCCAATTTTAGTTCATGCATTTTCATTTTCAATCATTTTGATTTGAACATAGAAAAATTTCCAATGTTGAACCAATGGTGGAAATTTGATCACAATAGTTGATAGTTTTTAATGTTTGGGATGTAAGAATTCTATTGAAGCTCTTTTTCAGAAAAAAAAAATGAATGCTAATAATTGAACTGCTAAGATTCCTTGGATTTGTTTAACATTATACAGAGCAAGATGAAAGGATATAGTCTTTCAGCTAATGATGATTGAAGGAGCAAAGATGAAGTTGATTTGTAGCTACCATTTATTTAAATTTTTAAAATTTTTCCTGCAGAGGCCAGGAGATGGCTAGAGAGCCCTGGAACTGGGGTTATGGATGGTTGAGACCTGCCATATGGGTGCTGAAAATCAAACCCAGGTGCCTGACAGAGCAGCCAGTGTTTTTAACCATTGAGCCATCTCTCCAGATCCCTAACTACCTGCCGTCTCTTTAACTTCACTGTGTTCTAATACAAATATTCTAAGTCAGTTATAGCTTATGACTTGTGATTACATATAAACACCTCTGTTTGATTTCATCATTATACCATTTAAAGTTATATTATTCTGACTCATTTTTGTCAGTTCTACAGGTGTGTGACGTCACTCACAATAATTTTGTTTGTTTCCTAAAATATTTATTCTTCTGTTCTGGTTGGCCTTTGAAACTATGTTTGATTTTATCCCATTACTGCTCTTCCTTCGCTTGTTTGGAGCGAGGTTGCTGGCATGCCTTCCACTCCCGCCGCGTCTTTTCCCTGGTAGTTCTGGAGCACCTCTCTGTTGTCATGGCTGCTTAACAGTCTTTGGGACCTTGTGTGTGGCCTTAAGAAACAAATAGTGTGCTTTTTAAAATATGGTTTTTATTTGCAATTAATTTTGAAGAGTAAAGTGATTTTTTAATAACTTCTATGTTCACAAATCACACTTCTTACCTTAATTTTGTATTTTAAGTCTGCTAATACGCATGTGTGAGTGAATTCAGGAAGGTACACATACATAGAACACAGCCATCACGTATTTCCTTTTAATTCTGGGAATTTGGTAGCTATATAAACTGCTCTCAGCTATAAATTAAGTATTGCAAAACATTACTTTTGTTTTTTATTTTACTGTGTGTGGTATGTGTACATGTTTTCATGGGCGTATGCTCATGTGCACGTGGGTGCTCATATGAGTTTTTGTGCAGATGGAGGCCAGAAATCAATAATGTCTTTGCTTAATCACTCGCCACCTATTTCTTTTTTCTTCTCCAACTTAAAAAAGGCTGTCTTTTCTTTTCTCATTTTTATTAGTTCTTTGATAACATCATACAATATATTTTGATCAGATTCATTCTTCTCCCCACTTTCTTCCCCAGCCCAGCCCCCCTCCACTATCCACCCAGTTCTGTGTCCTCTTTTATTTCTTTTTAAACCATCAGGTTTAGTTGTGCTGCTCATATACTGTGTGATATGGCCTTCCATCAGAGCATGCTTGACTTACTAGAGGCCACACCCTTAAAGAAAATTGCCTCTCCATCTCCCAGCAGCTGTGAGTTACCAGCTCCTCAGCTGGTTGGGGACCATCTTCCACTCCATGCTGGAGTTTTGTATGACTTAAATAGGTCTTGTGCATGCTGTCACAAATACAGTGCATTCTCCCTAATTTTTGATACAGGGTCTCTCACAGAACTGGGAGCTCACTGACTGGCTAGGCTGGTGGACCTGTGAGACCCAGAATCTGCCAGTCTCTGCCCCACAGAAACAATGTACTGCTTTTTACATGGGTGCCTAGCATTCAAACTTAGATCTTCATGCCTGCTTAGCAAGCATTTTACTAACTGGGGCACCTCCCTAGGCCTGTAAAAGAGTCTTTAAGTTTGTTTCTATACATGTGAGAGCCAGAAATGAAAAGGATTACCTTAACCACAACCATACATGATGAGAAATTCAACACCATTTCCCACCCATTTACCATTAATCATAATCATTGATGCAATATTGGGTTTGACTTTGAAATACTGTCCTTATATTGTTTATGCCAAAAGATCTTGTTTCAGGCTGTTTTGATTCAGAATTAATTTCTGAAAAATGCACAACAAAAGCCATCTAGATAACAATCTATTGGTTTAAACGCTTACCTGCAGTTTTACATTGTGACTATTTATCTTTTATACAAAATATTATGTGTTTTATAGTTTTATATAAACCACAAAATTCCCATTTCACTTTATACTGTTTACTTCTAAAACTATGGTCTTTGCAGAGTTTACTTTTTCAAGTCATCTTTGGAGAAACTGTAAGAGGAGGAAATCCCTCCCTGCTCTCTGTGAGGCCAAATACCAAAAAACCAAAACCAAAAGGGAAGAAAGATGCCAATGAATAGACGCTGTGAACTTAAACAAAAAGTCCTTTTTAAAAATTGTTAATTGTTTATTTATTCAGAGAAACTACCCCTTAGCCCACATGTTTATGTTTCATAGTTCAGGAACATAGGGCAATGACATTCCTCTATGGGGCTCAATCCGAAGAAATTCTTTACATTCTGAGAGAGCTTTGTACTCTGAACAATACAGGCCTTCCTCATCTCTTGAAAATCTCTCACAGAATCATAATTTCTGTAGAAATCTGCATACACCTTGTCTCTTGGTCCAGCCACACCAAACATAAAGGGGGCCGGCAACTCCCAACATGACCATGACTGTGCGAATGTGCAATATGAATCCCTAGACACTGCCCCAGAAGATCACACATCTGCACTTTCACCAATGACGCAGCCGTGGTAGTAAATGTCCTCCTCATCAATATCCTTCCCTGTTGCCTTAAACATGAAATTAAGAAAGGCTTATCAGATAGAAACCAAAAATAAGTATTGAAAGATAATATACCATTCTTAATTGAGATTCATCCCATCAATTATCATTCGCTGTTACCTTAAACACTAAATTACTAAGAAAGGCTTATCAGAGAGAAACCAAAAATAAGTATTGAGAGATAAAATACCATTATTAATTGAGATTCATCCCAAAGGCACCAGGTCCTATCTCATTGGATAATAAATAAGCATAGTACCATATTTATGAGGAAAATGTATCACATATGATATTCTCAACAGATATAGAAAAATCTGGCAAATTCATAATTCTTTCATGATAAAAAATCATAATAAACTAGTATTAGAAATTATTATAAGCATTTTTAGGAGTGTAGTAATGTGATTGTGGAGTTCTTTAAAAACCAATTACATGGCTAGATTGACAGCTCACCAGTTAAGAGTGCTTACTGCTCTTGCAGAAGACCTGAGTTCTGTTCCCATCGCCTGTGTCGAGGGCTCACAACTACCTGTAATTCCAGCTCCAGGGAACCCCAAACCCTCTTCTGACCCCCATTGGTATCCACACACATGCGTACATTTACAAAGTAAAACAGAAAAGCTTTAAAAATAAATAACAAACATTTCTCACCATGTTATTTAGGAAAACATAATTTTTAAATATTAATGGAAAACACTGAATAAAAAATGAAATAATTGCTGAGAATTGTGGCACATGCCTTTAATCTTAGCACTTGTGTAAAAGAGAGGTAGGTGAATCTGTGAGTTCAGGGCCAGTCTGATCTATGTAGGGAGTTCCAGGCCAGCCAGGCCTATACAGTGAGACCCTGCCTCAAAAAATAAATTTTAAAGGCTAAATAAAATCCTATCACACAGAAAGTAAGCAATGTCAAGGTGTTCCTCAACTCGAGAAAGGCTGGCTGCCATTTACCTACAACATCACACTCACGCAATGGTTTCTTTTAAAAAGGTTGAAATGAAACTACTTTATTCATAAGATTATTCACACTAGTGTAAAACATCTAATCTTAAAAGATTTCACAAAAGCTTCTAGAAATAACTAGAGAATTTTGCCAGTGAATAAAATATAAAGTATATGCAAGGGATTTTATTTTTATGTGCTAGCAAAATTTAAAATACTATATGGAATATCATTGGTAGGAAATGCATTGAAATATATGCAAAACTTGCTTATAAGTGGTTGAACATTGCTGAATCAAATTCTAGAAGAACCGAGTACTTGAAGCATTAGACATGTACATGGGCTGAAAGATTCCGTAGTCTCATGGTGTCTGTCAGTTATCTCTATTTTAGTCTACAGATTTATTTAATTCAACTCCAACCAAACGCCTAGAAATTTATTATTATGTAGTTACACCATATTTGATATTATAGAAAATACATAGAAAATGTGAAGAACATAAAATAACCCAAACAATTTTTAAAAAAGAAAGAAAACAAGGTCTGACAATGTAACCTTTCTGATTCTACACTTACTAGAAAGAAAAATGGTAATTTAGACAATACAGTAAAGTGTCCAAAGAAGGAAAGATTTATGGGTCATACAAAATAGAGATATTGGAAATAGATCCACAAATGTGAGACAAATTGAGTTTAAATGTTTCAAGCTAATTCGGCGACAAGGATAGTTGGTTCAACAAATTACAAAACTGTACTGAAACTGTAGATAGTGTGTACATCCTGCATGAACAGGATGGGGCTGGAGGAGTGGAGAGGAAGAGAAACTCTGGCCTTTACATCACAACATACTTTGAAATTAGCTAAAAGCCAGTTGTAGACTTACCTGTAAAAGCAATACCATTAAAATTCCAAGTTTAATGCAGGAGAAAATCTTTTGTCCTTAGGTTAGACAAAGGTTTTTAACTGTATACAAAAATCCACAGGGGACACACAAGGAAAACAGATTAATTGAATTCTACTACAGCTAAGACTTTCACCATTTTTCAAGGCTACAAACAGTGCATAACTTCTTCATGTGCGTTTTCACTTCTTCTCTCTGATAAATAATTAGGAACTTCGTTACTGCATCTTGTACAAAGTGCACATTCCATGTTGAGAGAGATTGCCAATCTGTTTCCCAAATGGCTGCATCCCCACCAGTAATGTGTGAGAGGTCCAGGTCCCCACCCATGTCAGTGTGTAGCGTAGCATTGAAATGAATCACATTCCCTGACTGAAAGAAAACATCTTCAAAATGCATACCAGAGAAAAGATAAAATGTAAATGCATACAGAATCTTGAACATCAATAACAGGAAGATAAACAACTTAGTGGATAAAAGTTCTAAACAGTTTTTTTTTTCCTCAAGATACTTGAATCACAGATAAGCATATAATAAGATTAGTAATATCCTTAACTACTAAGAGAATGAAAATTTCCTAAACAAGATACATCTCATGCCACCTGAATGGCTAAAATAAAATACCAATTGTGAAGACACAAAGTAGAATGGCTACCTTGGAAAATGGACCAACTGGCTAGCCTACCACTAATACTCACCTATCCTATGGCCCAGCAATTCAACTGCTAGCTGTTTTTCAAAGAAAAATGAAAAGCTTTCCACACACAAAGGGCACAGCAGTGTGCATGGTGACTTTACCTATGGCACCCCAAATGAAGATGGGCTCATTAAGCTATTCCATACAAGGCAATACTCAACGAGAGTGGAACTAAATTACCAACATGAGTAATAACAAAGACAAGTCTCCAAAGCATGATGCTGCCTAAATAGTACATTCTGTGTGTTTTCACTTGGATAACATGTTAAGGGCAGAAACAAGCAGGTGACTGATCACCTGAGGCCAGGAAGGCATGAATCACAAAATGAGTAGAGAATGTTATACAGTGACAAGAATGCTCTCAATTGAGAGAGTGATTACATAATTTACATTTGTCAACACTTACTAAAATGTTGATTTTTAAAGTGTTGAATTTTATTGCATGTAAACTATGACTAGTTGTTTTTTTTTTTTTAATTTTAAGTTGGCAAAATGCAGATATTTTCAGATAAAAGCAATTCTATGAATAAGTCAGTATTACTCCAGTTAGGGCATGAAGGGCTTGAATAACTTCATAAAGACTCATAGCAATGGAGGCAGGACCATTCGGAAATAAACACAAAATAACTCATTTATTACTTTCAAAGAAACGGACCAGCGAGTCATGTAATAATTACAATGTGTGAACAGCACTTTGCAAGCGAATTGAGATACAATAAATAGTTAATCATAGCATCCGTCTTTTGCATATGAAATACTTGTAAACGAACGTGGACAAAGATGGTGGGCAGTGTTGGAATCTGAATGTAGCGATGGACTTCGAAAATATATAGTGGTCTGTTGATTCATTGCGAACGTTTTGCCCAGCTCTACTCACCGAATCTGGCATCCTCCATGTGTCCTTTAGAGGAACACTCTCTGTGAAGCACTTGATTCTTTCTGACAGTATTTGGAACCTTTGCTACTAAAAATGTCCCCCTCTTATCTCATTGGGTAGGGTAGACTCAGGAGGAAGTAAAAATGAGACAGAGAGACAGAATGCCCAACTCTGGGTATGACCATCTTGGTTTGCCCAGGCTTCGGACACGTAGCCATGGCAGCGAAGCCATAAAATGGGTTGGTCTTAGCGCCC